ATTAACACTTGCAGTGCTTTTTGCTTCTAAGCTTATTTGTTGCTTTCTTTGTTGCTGTTACTTTTCCTTAGTGTTGTCAAGAGTGTTATCTATTGCTGTTAGTGCAGAAAGATAATTTCTTTTTCTACCGATTTTGTGTTTAAGTGATCATCAGAGAGAGTTTGTGTTATTTATTTTGAAGATAGAGACTTTAACTATTAAAAAAAAAAATAATAATAATAATAAAATATTTACTTTCTATAAAATATTTTTACTTTCTATAAAATATTTACTTTTTTGTATTAGGAACTACAAAATTATCTTCAATGTATTGTTGGAGAATACAAACAAATAACAGTTGTGATAAATTATATGTAAAAAAAAATTAAAGTTTAATTTTTAAATCTTTATATTCAGCTAATAATAAATAATTGTATAAGTCTGTAGTATCAAAAGAAACTATGCTTAATTTTTTAGTTTTTTTATTTTTATTCTTGTCATTTTTGTCATTCTCTTTATTTTCATTATTCTTGTCATCATTACCAACTTTAATCTATTCTTTAATAATAGATTCTTTATTTGTTATTGCATCATTTTCATCATTACTATAATTATCATTGCTATTGTAATTATCATCAATGTTATAATTATCATAATTAGGTGTTTTACTATTATCACACATGATTTTGCTATGAATGAGACTATCTGATCTATTATTTAATTCAACACTTAATTTATTTACTGGTCTTGATTTAATGTTCGATTTATTGGTAGAACTTGATTTAATGTTTAAATTATTAGCTGAACTTGATTCAATATTTGATTTATTGGCTAGACTAGTAATACAGTTTATAATAACAGCTTAGTGAACTTTTTAGCATTATCTAAGCATTCTTCTTATATCATTTTAGCTGCAACTTGAAATATTCTAAAAATCGTTCATAATTGTAACAAGATAAGTTTATTAAATATACATTTATAAATTTTGAATATATTATTACTTATTTTGAGATAATTGCATTTTGGATTTTGAAACCATCTTATTTAGGAGAAAAGATGCTTACATGATGCCAAATTAACTTTAATACTATATAGTCTGTAGCTAACTTTACTAAACTCTTTTTAATTAATTGCTGCAAATTTCAATATTACAATAATGCAAGTTTATTTGCATTATTTGTTGCAACCTTTGTTGTTAAAATAGCTTCAAGAGTATTTTCAAATCTTTCATTACTAAATATATCATATTTTATATAATATTCAGTTAATTTTAGTATAACATATTATAGTTTTATACTAAACTATATTTTATAATAATATTCAATCCATTTCATTATTCTTTCAAGAGAGAAAAAATTAGCATCAAACTAAGTCTGAACAAAATATTGCAGATGAAAAATAATTGCTAAAAAAAGAAAAGGTTGTTCCCAATCTGCCTATTTTCTTTCAAGGTTCTGTTATATTTAATAACTGAATTAGTCTAAGTTATTTATATATATATATATATATATATATATTTTTTTTTTGGTATTAAGGTGACCTCTTTGGTCTGAGCTTTTTATTAATACTTATAGCAGTTACATGTTTTATATAGACGTATCTATAATGAACTATTAGACGAGTGTACAACTGGCTACACATATAACTTTTCTATATTACCTATTTAAGGAATCTGCCTGAGGGTTCTCCACTAGTTGCCATACCTAACACCTCTGCTTAGATGTTCTATTTAAACCCTCTGATCTAACCCTAGTATTAATTTCACCAGATCACAGA